GGCACTCTACCTGTCCCTAGAATGTATCAGATCACCCGAAAGGCTTCTCGCACTTTCTGAGGCTTCACTACACATGCTCTTTTGCTAGACTGGGTCAACTCCTAGGAGAGGTTAAGTTCACCCACCCTGGAACTTTCTGGCTTCTGGTAAGGGCATCTTGTGAATTGGTGACCACCATGGTCAGACATTCACCTGCTTGGCCAGTTTTGAAGCTGTCTGCAGCCATGCACTTGTTTTTGGTCACAGCTATAAACTGCTTTCTGTGACCAGATTGGGAGAAAATTGTCACTTCTGTCTATACCCTAAGTCCCTGATTATCAAAAGTCACACTCTACCTTGATCCTGGTTAGCCCATGGTCATCTTCCCATCAGTCAACAGCAGGGATCCTGGTTTCTCTGTTTAAAAATACCAAATTCTCTGGTAAAAACTCCAAAATTCTTCAAGTTAAAAACCCCAAATCCACATTTTTCTGCCATTAAAATGAAATGCCACAATATATATAGGTATCAGTTGAACACAATGTTTTATTGATATATTTACAATTTTAAAGGAATTTGGAGGCCTAACCATGTCTCAGTCTTTATAATAAAATTCTAAATATTTATATATTTTGGCCTTTGATTTTGTCTTTTTTGTTGTTTTCTTTTTTTTAAATCAGAGAAAATCAGAGCGCCCCCTGCCCCTTTCACTTACCAAGACGTGGTTCCAGCTGTGGCTGTCCCTACCACTGCTTTGTGGCCCTGAGCAGCCCTGATATGCCAGTGCCTGGCCCCTGCCCGTGCCGTTGCCCCTCACTTCTAACCTGCAGCCCCCTACCCCCAGCCCTGCCAGTGCCCCTCACTCCCTATCCACAGTTCCCCACCGTTCCCAGCCCTGCTGGTGCCCCTCAGTCCTGACCTACAGCCCCCTGTCCTCCCAACCCTGCTGGAGGGGGCCTTCAGCTGCCAGGGCTGCAGGACCTAGCAGCAGCTACAGCCAGAACAGAGTGCAGAACAGCCTCCTCCACTCCTGAAGTTGGCATGGTCAGAAGGGAGCTGAGCAGAGCCCATGGAGTGGGGGAGAATGTAGGCTGCCCACTGTGGGGCTTGGGGCTCCCCACCATGCTACCTTCCCTCTGGGGCCTCCGCAGCCCAGCGAGTGAGACCCAGTGTGGGAGGGAAGCAACAGGGAGCAAAACTCCATGCTGTCGCCACCCCCACTACTGCTAGGTGGGCAGGGAGTCCCTCACCATGGCAGTGCAGATGTTGTGGGGTCCCGGCAGCAGCACCAAGCCTACCTGCCCCACTCTGCCCTCCTGAGCCAGGTCCTGCCCACTGGGCCATGGAGGCTCCTGGGGGAAGGGCAGCAGGGTGGGGAGTCCTGGGCCCTGAAGCAGGCAGTCCACATCCTTCTCTGCCCCATGCACAAATCTGGGGGTGGGGGGCACATGCCCTCCCATGTCCCTCCATGTGTCTCCTCTGGCACAGAACCCCTCCTCAGGAGTACGCACAGCAGCAGGGAGGCAGCCTGTCCACCACCTCTGGAAAAGCCACCCTTGGCTTCTTCCTGCTCCCCCAGCCAGTCCCGCAGCTGCACAGTCCCACCCTGGTCATGGACACCCCCAGCTCCAGCCATCAACCCTGCTCCACTTCCTCCCTCACCATGGCCACCTCAGTCTGCCCCTCCCACCCCATGCAACGCCTATGCCCATGCCGCCTATGCTCCCTTCCCCCCATAGACTTACCTTCAGGCAGCTGGGGAAGCTGCTCTCCTCCATTGCATGGCTGTATTGCTGGCCATGTGCATGTATATACATGCACACATGCATGTGGCACCCCTTGAGTCCTGTTCCCCCCAGCCCCAAGAACCCCCTTGTGGGCTGGAACTCTGCCAGCCTGCAAAGGGAAACCGCTGTTTCCTACATTTTTCTCGTCTAAAGGGAAACATCTGTGTTTTTCTGTGGCAAATGGAAAACCAAGATCCCTGGTCTTCAGGAGTATCAGCCCGAAGTTTCCAAACATTCTGGTGCCATAGACCTTGACTGACCAGCTGGTGATGATATGTGTGAACTGTCCCTGGTGGCCTATGATACCCTGGGCATGTCTGCACATGCACTTTAATGTGCATTAGCCTATTTTAATGCACATTAAAGCATCACAGAAAATCTGTGTGATTTCACTAATGTACATTAAAATAGGCTAATGTGATTTTTCTAGTACTTCACAATGTAAGTACTAGATTTAATGCACGTTACCAAAAACCCATTAATGAATGTGTAGACATGACCCCTATACCATGATGGAGAAGAAATCCTTATGGTTGATGTACTGTGGTGGGCAGCACACAAGATAGGAATGGGAGTGTCACTGATGACCCCTATGCTGTTTGGAAAGCCTATGTGGGCAAATCCAGCAGTGACTTCCTAAGGGTTGGTGAGGCAGATGAGCTGTGGCGCCCTCTGGATGGTGTGGCTTATCTTTTGCATATCCAGTCCCACTGTGGACATGACCATGTACTGGAGTCTGATCATCTTCCAGATGCTGATGGCTACTGTCGCACTTAAAAAACAGATTTTTAAACCTAGTGCTTTAAGAATTGACACGACACTCGGTTGATTAAAGCAAATCTTTTTGCTATTAATAACTAGCAAAAAGCTATAAAACTAAATGACAGAAAAAGGACTTTTTCCCAATATAAAATGAGCTAGTAGTCCTTGTATTATCTTAGTCGCAAGAGATTTTTACCCAAGCAGGCAGGAAGTAGTTTGTCAGCTTTCACACAGAGTAGGTCTTTCATTTGCACGCTGGGTGGTGCAGGATGGCTTCTTGATTTTCTCTGGATTGCACACCTTGCTGGCGATTCTGTCTTGCTTTTTATACTGTTTTAATTGTATAGCTTCAAAGCATTTTTCCTTGATGTTTGGTCAATTAAAGTCTGAACAAAACAGGGAGAAAAAAGGTAACCATCACATTACAGTTGTTAAATTGCCTGGCTACTGTTTTTTTTTGGATTTGTCCAGGTGTAAAGACTTGTGTTTCTTGTAGTTAAACGTGATGGGCCTTGAGTGGTCAAACAAGATGCTTAGAGGCATTGGTTACTGGACCTGTCTTTGGGTATTTGCTTATCAGTGGGGCAAATTTGCAATAGCTTGTAGATGGTCTATTTACAAAACTTCAGACATACATTGAATGATTGAGACATTTGTAACACCTTAGACATTGGATGCCTGTTTTGAGAAATCTGAGGATGTGTGTTTAGCAAGGTGCATTTGTCACATAGGGCATTTTTTACAGGTTTTGCTTGAAATGTATATTAAGTCTTTTGTCTCCATTAGTTGCTAGTTCAGTTGAAATGTATACGTGGTTTCCTTGAGTACTTTAGTTACACTGGCTCAGCCTTTTTCTCTGGCTCTTTTAGTTGGATATGCACATATGATGAGTGCTTCAGGTCTCTGCCAACAATTTTCATTTTAAAGGAACCATCACTCTTATTACTTTATAGCATGGGTCTGATTAAGTCTTTTGTCTCCATTAGTTGCTAGTTCAGTTGAAATGTATACGTGGTTTCCTTGAGTACTTTAGTTACACTGGCTCAGCCTTTTTCTCTGGCTCTTTTAGTTGGATATGCACATATGATGAGTGCTTCAGGTCTCTGCCAACAATTTTCATTTTAAAGGAACCATCACTCTTATTACTTTATAGCATGGGTCTGATATTGGGTGCCTGCACCACCTCTGGAAGGAGTCTATTCCAGGTCTTGGGGGCTTGGCCAGTAAAGAAATTTTTCCTTATGTCCAGCCTAAAAAGATCTTGGAGGAGTTTATGACCGTTGGTCCTTGTTTTTCCTTGGGGCACTCTGGTGAACAGGCATTCCCCCAGATCCTGATGTACAGGCCTATTCTCTTGCCTTCTGATCATGCATGTGGCTCTGCTCTGGACTCTCTCAAGTGGCTCTCCTTTGGACTCTCTCAAGTGACTTGACATCCTTCTTGAATTGCAGAGCCCAGAACTGGATGCAGTACTCCAGCTGTGGCCTCACCAAGGCCGAGAACAGTGGGAGGATGACATCCTGAGATTTACTTGAGAAGCATCTATGAATGCAAGCCAGAGTATTGTTTGCTTCACCAGCTGCAACATCACATTGGTGGCTTATGTTCATCTTGTGGTCAGTCATGACCCCCAAGTCTCTTTCAGCTGTGGTGCTAGCAAGTGTAGCTCTGCTGAGCCTGTAAGCATGCTGCAGGTTTTTTCTCCCTAGGTGGAGTACCTTACATTTATCTATATTGAAAGTCATCAGGTTTGTATCCGCCCACTTACTAAATTTATCCAGGTCAGCCTGGATCACTAGCTTGTCCTCCGGTGTGGACGCTATGCCTCAAAGTTTAGTGTCATCGGTGAACTTAGCCAGTGTGCTCCTGATACCAATGTCCACATCATTGATAAAGATGTTAAAAAGAACCGGTCCAAGGACAGAGCCTTGGGGGATGCCACTGGTCACAGAGGGCCATGATGATTCACTACCTTCGACCACTACTCTCTGGGTCCAACCTCAGAGCCAATTACCCAGCTATCAGATTGTGGTGAATCCAAGGCCACAGTTGGCCAATTTTTTCCATGAGGAGGTCATGGGACACCAGATCAAAAGCTTTTTTAAAGTCCAGATATATGACATCAATCTCTTGAGATTGGTCAGGCAAAACCTACCCACGACAAACCCGTGCTGGCTGTCCCTCAGGATGTTGCCTTCAGCCAGCTTATCCAGAAGGGTCTCCTTGATAATTTTCTCTAAAATCTTACCAGGAATTGAGGTCAAGCTGATTGGCCTGTAATTCCTGGGATCTACTTTCTGCCCTTTCTTGAAGATGAGTACCACATTGGCCTTCTTCCAGTCTTCGGGTACTTCACCTGAGCGCCACTAATTTTCAAATATTTTTGCCAATGGCTGGGCTATGACACCTGCCAACTCCTTGAGCACTCTAGGGTGTAATCTGTCTGTAATCCAAGTCCCAGCCACACCTCTTTCAAGATTCAACAAAACAAGTCCTTTATTTGTAATCTTCTCGCAACACAAAAGTTTGGACTTTTGCAGCCATTTTAAAGTGCCCCTGATAGAAAAAGGATTGTATAGTTGCACAATGCTGAAAAACTCCAAATTTAAAGCACTTCAAATTACAGCAGAGTTTGTAAATGCTTTAAATGAATGCTTGCCCGTATCCTTGATCTGATTGATGTAAATAAAACATTCAATATAGAGAAATGCAAAAGATTTTAAATTATTAAATAAATCTGTGAAAAACAGAACACTGGGCATGAGAATGTGTGTCATTTTTTCTGAATGGCCTATACTTAAGCAAAATGCCCAATGCAGTCTTTCTGCAGAAGGGCCATATACCATACCAATTTTACGAAAAAAATGCACAAAATTGTAAATAATTTGTTTCACATTCAAATAAATTGTTTGGGCTTTATTATGTATAGCTTAATTTTATGAGAGCAGGTTTAGAGATAAATTTATAGCATTCTGGTTTTATAGACAAATGGTTGTATAATGTTAGAGAAAACAAGTAGCCTGTATGTTGGGCACATTGTATATGCTATATATAATAAATTATCAAGTATTATGTTTAAAAGAGTACTCTGGTACCAAGTATTAAAAATATTTAAGGAGAAACTTAAGAAGAAATTTTAAGATGGAATGCTTCTTTCCTTTTCTTATGGTGACCAAAATCTTCAAGTGGTTGAAAATCTCTTAAATCTTAACTACTTTCCTGGGAATTAGAAGCTCATTTATAAGCATTTCTCATAGAATGTTTCTACTGCTAATAAGGTAAAATGAAAAATTTAAACATTCCTTCATCAATTTACATCTAAAATTCTTATTTTACATTAACTGGAAACATTTCAGCTGCACTTATTTATGGAAATCAAAAACAGCATAATGAATTTACCAGTACTTTCTACAGTATACATTTTCTGTATAGCATTGTATCTTTAAGTAAGCACAGCTATAGGTAGGAAGCATACATAGGTAAAAAGAAATGTTACAAATATTTTTTTATATAGATTGTTTCAGTTCTTTTATAGTATTAGCACTGAACTTTCTGTTTTTTATTCTACAGAAAAATCTTTACGTAAGAACAAACTTGTAACTATATTAAGATCTTAAGCACTTCCTCCCTAAAATTCTAAGTAGAAGGTAGTTTAACACTACAAGATTTTCGGCAATTTGTTTCTCCAGCACTACAGTTTTTAAGCAATCTATCATGTATTTCTTGAATATGACACAAATAGTAGACAATCTAATTTATTTGGTTTTTAAATCCATGAAGTCAGACTAGATATGGCAAGTTAAGTATATTGGCCATTATCTGTTCTTGCAGTTTTCAGCAGATCTGCTTAGGTGTAACTGAGAGTACAAATAGGTCTACAGTATTTAAACAGAAATACTATCAAGAGAATTTTAAGAGACCCTAATCTAATCACTGTTTTTTGCGTGTGTGTATGCATGTGTAACAGGATAAACTAAACAAGTCAAACAGCTTTTAGGTGACATACTTCATCAAATCAAACAGCTTTTAGGTGACATACTTCATCAAAAACCACTTTTGGTACATAATTTGCGTTAATTGTGGCTACAGTGCCAAGACACATTTTTAACTAGGAATTAACTTGATTGGAGCATGTGATAGAGAATAAATAATGTCATTACAGATGTAAAAATAAATTTTGCATCAAAAAGTATGGTGTTTATTTGATCTTCTGTGGTTTCAGCACAACACTGGAATAGGATCTTATGCAGGAAAATGCATAAGGTGAAATCTCTCTTGCATTGATGTAATTGTTTTCAAGATGAAGATGTTCCAAACATGAATCTCCATCCTCTTCTTCCTCATTACTGTCATCAACAATATCATCACCAATGTTAGATCTACAGATGCGTTCTGAAGGGACTGTCCTGGGCAATCAGATGAAAAATACTGGCTTAATTATTAAAGATTACTAGCAAGTTATTTGTTAATCAGTTCATTTTAGAGTTGCTGATTACCGTGTTGTTTAAAGCATTTGGATTTGATCAGCAATATAACTTTTATTAGATTTACAATAGCAACAATGATAATTATAATAATGTTACATTAATATTACCACTACTTATTATTCTTGTACAATATAACAATGGTAATAAAGACATTTTTTTTATTAAGCTCATTTAAAAATGAGTTTACACCTCAATTACTTTTTCTAACACAGTTCATTGTTTCTCTTTGCATTGTTAATTTAATGTATTTACTTTTGAAATCAGTTTTTGAATGAACTGCATTCTTAACAACATGGATAACACACATGGTCCATCACTCAGCTACTTTGCAGATCTCAGGGCAAAACAAAGTAGCTGGAAAAATGTGCTACGTGGACATTTACAAATTCCCCACATAAAGATGGCAAAAAATTGATATAACTACTTCTAGCTGACCAGTTTAGTCTTCGCTTTGTGCTAGGATCAAAAAAGGGGAAAGGTGACTTAGAATCAACTTTTCCGGCACTCTCGTTTGCTGTGCCAACCTGAGTGTAGCCTTACCTGGCATCTGACCTCAGGTTCTTGGAGAACTGAGTTCTTGGAGAACACTGGGAGTCAGCAAGGTTGTGTTGTAGCTTTTTTAAAAACAATGTAAGGAGACTTAGGCCATGCTTTTCTTTCTTAAATGAGTTAGACTCTTGTATAAAATATTGTTATAGAGAATTCAAAACTCATTCCCATGCTCAGTATTTAAAATCTGTTGCTCATGAAAGAGAGCTTATATTTTAAAACATAGTAAATGCTTTATTAAATCCCTTTTAATATTATCTTATTTTAATATTTAAAAAGTCAAGTTTGAAAATACCGTATTTTGTTGTTGTTCAGCCTCAGAAAGCTTAATGCTTTCATTTCTGCAATTCCAAATGGTATAGACTTTAATTCATTGTGATCCAAAAATAACTCTCTCAAAGAGTGATATGCTCCAAAGAAGGACACTGGATCTATTCCATCGTCATTAAGTTTGTTAAAGGAAAGGTAGAGGTATTCCAGCCCTGGCTTCATATGACCAAACACATATCCTGGAATTCTCTCTATCTGGTTTCCAATGAGTACGAGGTGCAATAAAGATATTGGCAGATAGGAGGGAACATGATATAACTTATTGTAAGAAAGGTCAATAGACTCCAAGTTCCTGCATTAAAGGAGATAAAAAGAGATGTAAAAATGATATAGTATGCTGCAAAGTTAATGTTGCATTCAGTGCAGAATAACTCTTTTGGTGGCAAAAACTAGGTGATTAATTATTTGGAAGTGATTTTTTCTCTGGGTGCTTTGTTTATGTTAAATGGGAATTAATTTTAGGGAATATGGTTAGAAATTGTTACTCTAAAAATAACAATCCAAATGGTAAATAAAAATCATAATTAGGCAAGATCTACACTTATGTATTGGTGTTGTGGGGAAATATGCCATAAAATAAGTAGAAAACTAGAAAACTCAAAGATCTAATTCCTACTCAATAGGCGTGTCTACACGAGATGCATTAATACAAATTAGCCTAATTCAATGTGCATTACAAGTGTGTGTCTATGCATGCACACCTTTCATGCACGTTTAAAATGGCACAGTTAGGCTAGTCATGGTGCTTAAATTTGATACCTGCAAATGCATTGATGCACATGTAGACATAACCCATGACTAACTTTAGTGCCAGGTCCCCACAGCCACTAGGGGGCACGTGGCAGGCCCCTTAGTGCCAAGTCCCTGCATGTGTAGACACCTGCCAAAAATTGTTTAATGTGCATTAGTTTAATGCGCATTAAATGTAGACATGCCCAATAAGCAGCTTAGATCTACAACAGTGAGTTACATGAGAAAATGTCAACATTTTTAGTATACAATTAACTGCCATTTACTCCTTTTCCATATACTATTTTGCATTTGGTGCTGTTGTTCTTGAGCAAGGTAACACTTAAATAGGGACTGGAGGATCAGACCTATACTTGGGACTAGTCTCATGTGCTAAATTTTAAATCATTCCCCATTGGCACTGATTTGAACTTTGCCTGACTTTAGCTGAAATGTCATTAGATTTGCTGTAGGATCCATCCTATATGCATAGAGAGGTACTGATATATTTTTAAAAACAAGTAATAACATCCAGTTATCTGCCAGGTAGTTTCATGTCTCCTTCAGTTTCTTCATATTGAGAAGACATGAGGCCTGCATATGTTTACTGTTTTTCTTTGAAGGCAAGAGAGGATTGTACGTAGACAGCTAATAAAGAATTCATCTTCAGGTGAAATATATTTGCTAAGGATGAGGGGAACATGTGACAATACTGAAATTGTTTGTGATGTGAGATTGTTTTCTAGACAAATGCTCCAAAATCCTGTGGAATTTCCACTGGATCTTGCGTGGCCCTTCCAGTTAAGAAGCCATAGCTGTTCCCTCTCTAACTTGACAAACAACTTCCCACAGCAGGAAGATATGCTTTATTACCATTCATCCCATGTTTTGAAACTCATAGAAAATGGAAAATGTCTTTTCCTTCAAATAGGAAAATAATGAGTACGCCTTACTGTTTTGTTTTAATCATGTAATTATAATTATATTTTTATAATGCTCTTACCTAGGATACTGGTATAGGTGTTGACCATAACAAGCTACATGTATTTAACTAATTGGAAACTGGGCCAGTAAAATATACATGTAGGGGCTGTATATATTTTAAAGTTAATATTCATACAGCATAATCTAATTAATCAGAATGCAACTGATTAGTGTTCATTTTAGATTGTGAATAAAAAATTTTTTTAGTTTTAAGATTAAAATTAATTGCAATGAATGCAGTTGACCCATAATATCAAAATTACTTAAAAAATGATTTTGTATACTGCTAAATTTTTAATTAAGGCTATCTGCCTAATGTAATAGCTTCTATGATATAACTGATTTCTTGAAACAAGAGCAACGCAGTTGCTTTAAGTTACCTAAAATGAATCAGAACTTCAGATATCATTCTTCATAGGAAGTTTTGGCCAAATGGAAGAGGAGGGTGGGCATCAGTCCACAACTGTGAGCTGGATAAGGTTCTTGCTCAAAGGGAGACTAGATTGGTCAGGAATTGGTTTTAAGATGCATTCTGTTTAACATTTTTATTAGTGACTTTGATACTGGAATTACATGTGACTTCATGAAATTTGCAGCTAACACTACACTGGGGGTATTGCCTACATAGAAGAAAACCAGATTATTATACAAAAAACTTGAAGTTTTGGAATATAAAATTAGAAATGGCTTGAAGTTTAGCAGAATAAAGTGAGAAGTCGTGCTTAGAAATTAACAGGGATTTTGGCTATAAAATGAGAGCGCATAAATTGGAAACAACTTAGGTCAAAAGACGTGGTCATCATGGGTGACCTGAACCTTCCAGACATCTGCTGGGAAGAGCAGTCAGCCAGGTCTGACCGCTCACGTAGGTTCCTAGCTGAGATACAGGACCTCCATCTAACCCAGGAGGTGCACAGCCCCACCAGGTGAGACACCTAGTTGGATCTGGTGCTGGCCAAAGGCAACAACCTCGTGAGGGGGCTGCGGGTGCTCAACCACCTGGGCGACAGCGATCATCGCCTGCTGGAATTAATCCAGCGCAAGGTGGCAAAAGCCTGCAGCAAGGCAGCAGCCCTGGACTTCAGGAGGGTGGATTTCAATGAGGTAAGAAGAATAGTTGGGGGAGTACTGAGGTCCCAGAGGGGAGGGGAGTCGGGTGTCCAAGAAGAGTGGTTGTTCCTTAAGGAGACTGTCACGGCGGGGTCCGTCAGGACGGCCATGATCTCCTTATGGCCCCCTCACCGTGCCAAGTTGGCCTAAGGGCACCCTCAAATTCTCGCCCGCCACGTCTTTGATGTTTATGTATAGTTGGGAGGCTGCCTACGACTCCCTGGGCACGGTTAGCTGGGATCTCGGTCCCCGTACGTTCCTGGACCCCCTGGGGGTCTCCCGGTATGATGGGTGCTCCCCAGACACCCTAGCCTTATGGGCTACGCGTGGCTCCTACCAACCCCTAATACCACGCCCCAAGCCTCGCTGATGGGATAGACGCTGGTATGTCTCTTTACCTATATACTGCCCGTCTCTCGAGCCTCCTCTACGTGCTCTCGCCCACTCTCTGGGCCTCCTCTGCTGTGCTGCCCTCTCTTGGGCTCTCCGAGCCCACTCTGGGCTTCCCTGGGATGTCACCCCTCTCTGGGGGTCTTCTCTGTAATGTTGCCCCCCGTCTGGGGCCTTTGCAATAGTGCCCCCTCCTGGGGCTCTCCCTGCAATGTTGCCCGCACTGGGGCTTCTAAAATACAGCCCCCTGTTTGGAGCTCTCTGCGCCCACTCTGGGGACTTCCCGGCAACGCCCCCTGACTCTCGGGCCCACCGCGCTGCTCCCTCCTTCTCTCAGGGCTCACCGCACCACTACCCCCTCTCACCGGGGCAACCGCAGCACTCTACCCTGCTCCGGGGTTCGTCACAGCACTAGCCCTTCTTCAGAGGCTCACCGTGCCCGCACTGGGCCTCCTAATAATATTGCCCCCTCTACATACCCCGCACACAACCCGGGGTCTATGTTCCCCGCCCGCAACCCACTGGTTGCACTCCTCACTGCCAGCTGCGCCTTCACTGGCGCTGCGCCTTCACTGGCGCCGGGGTTCCCATGTCACTGGGGTCCCCCCAGCGAATACTGCGCCTTCACTGGCGCTAGGGTCCCGCCCTCTGTAGGTCCCTATGAGAACACTGTGCCCTCCTCAGGCGCTGGGGCCCCCACACTCCCGTGGGGCCTTTTATGAGGTTCAGCCGCTCCTCTCTGAGCTTAACTGACCCCACGACTCTGCCCTGCAACTCTCAGGGCCTAGTGCGCCCTCACTGGTGCCGGGGTCCTCACTTTACCGTGAGCCCCCTATGAGGCCTCCTCCAACCCCTACAACCTCGCTCAAACCACCGGTGGCCCCTGGGGATCCCCTTTAGAATACTGTGCCCCCCCACACTCCCGTGGGGCCCCTTTATGAGGCCTCCTCCAACCCCTATAGCCTCACCCAAACCACCTGTGTAATATCAAAGCCTGAACACAAACTCAAGCCTCCTGGCTATAACTCAAACATAACGCTCTCTGGCTGTAACAACTTAACTCCAAGCCACCTGGCTAAACCATAGTGCTCAATCCTCTCAGAGCTGCCCTCCTTCCCTCAGCTAGAGCAGTTCTTACATTGCTCGCCTCCTAGCTCCAGGAGCTCCTGCTCCTGCTCCTGCCCCTCTGGCTGCTGGCAGGGAACTGCCAGCCTGGCCTCAGCCCTGGGCTTTATCAGGGCCAGGCCCTGCCTCCTACCGGCAGCTGGCTCTCCTTAGTTGCCCTGGCAACCCGCAGCTGTGCTCATTATGTTCTGCCAGGGCTCTCTCTCCCTGGCAGTTTCTACTCCCTAGGAGCAGAGCACTGAGGTGCCCTGCGACAGAGACGATCCTCCATGCCCAAAGGGAGGTAATCCCAACAAGGATCAAAGGGGGCAAGAGGGCGCAAAAGCCCCTATGGCTCACCAAAAGCATACAGGAATGTCTCCTAGCTAAAAGGGTGTACACCCAATGGAAGGTAGGGGCCATCACCAGGGAGGAGTGTTGCTCAGGGCTGCAGGGGGGTGGTCAGGAAGGCCAAGGCGGAGATGGAACTGGGACTAGCTACCCGGATCAAGGACAACAAGAAGTCCTTTTTTAAATACATAGCGGGCAAAAAGAAGGTACCGGGTAACGTGGGGCCTTTGCAAGACACACTAGGAAATCTGGTTGTCGCACCAGACGACAAGGCTAACCTATATAACGATTTCTTTGCCTCCATTTTCCTGAGCAGGGACCTGATCAGCCCATCTGTCGGGACCCCCTCAGGCGCCAGGGGAGGCGCACCCAGGCCTAGGCTCAGTGAGGATCTAGTCAGGGAACTTCTGGAGGGACTGGATGTATTTAAATTAGCTGGTCCTGACGATCTTCACCCCAGAGTGGTGAGGGAACTAGCAGAGGTCATTGCAGGACCCCTGGCACGACTTTATGAGCACTCATGGTGCTCTGGTGTGGTGCCAGAGGACTGGAAAAGGGCCAATGTGATTCCCATTTTCAAAAAAGGGAGGAAGGAGGACCCAGG